TCTCCTTCACAAGTGGAGCTATGGCGCGATCTTTCGACATCCTCTGAAAAATGAGCTGCTGGCTCATGTCAGGTGCCACTATACTTACAGTCTTCGACCGCCTACAGGAGTGCGCTGCCAGTCCTTGATCTGCAGGCGAACGAGCTGAACCTTCCACTGCCAACAAGCTCAATCTAACTTCGTTGAGACTCTCTTCTGGAACCCTACGGGCTTTAGTCGGAGATTCTCTATCTAGCGCGGCTGCATGCCCGTACCTGCAGTGCGTGCGCCTGTCTGCGCTGGGGCCCAAGCGGCCTCTTTGGCTTTCAGCTTCGCCAAGCGCACCTTTCGCCACCACCCAAAGAGGGTTTAGGGATCACTGCAACAGAGTCAGCACAGGTTAGAAACCGTCTTTGAAAGGCACCATCGCGCTCATGAGCTTGTGGGTTGAAAAACAGGCGAGACGCTACAGTAGGCGCCGTGTCCCTTGAGTCAGGTTGCATTTGTGAAGCTGCAACTTCGACCAAGATGTTTTACGTCGAAAAGTCGAAATAGTCGAGACTCGAGCTTCCTGTGTTCTATTGAGGGAAATCGATCACTTTGCAATGAGGATCCTACCTAGCAGAGTCCGACAATTAAACCACCGCATTTTGCCAAGCACCCAAAAAAGACTGATGTATGCCGGGCATCTCGAACGCATCGAGAAGCAATGTCCCGGTAGTCAACAACCTGAACCTCGAAATCGTTCAACCCTTCAACCCTCCTTGCCAGAAGCGTAACGATCGGATTCAGGATCTGGGGGTTTGGGGCTATGGCGTCTTTCCAAAAACTGACAACCCTGCAACCAAATCCCAAGCACCCAAAACAAGACCCGTAGACTAGAAACACTTCAGTTCCTTTACTTAGTGAATCCTACACCTGAACCCTAAACACCCTAAACACCCTAAACCCTACACCCTGAATCCTACCACCCCCAAGAAAGGAAGTTCGCTTCTTCCCACCTGGCCCTGGAAGCCCAACTCGTTGCTGAAGGACTGCAAACATCAGGGGGGTAGGTCGTTTAGGGCTTTAGGGCTTTAGAGTTTAGGGTTTAGGGCTTTAGCAGGGCGGCGCGGTGCTCGCGCAACCCCGGGAACGGAACGGAACGCGAACGAGAACGGAACGGAACGCAGCAAAGATCCTCTGAAAAGGAGGCCAGGCAGATCTCCAGTTTACTGAAACCACCTGAATGATTTTTAGCAGGTCGCGAAAATTCATTGGCAAGTGGCGGTATGCATGGGGAACAACGAGAACCGACAAATCTGCAACTAGGCAGCCAGCACGGGCCTGCGGTGTTGTTTACCCCTCTTTTGCACGTTGCTTGCAAAACTCCTCAATGATTTTTGCCGTTTCCGGAAATTTCATTAGTGATGTTTGGATGCATGGTGAAGGGCAACAAACTGAATTTCACGAACTTCGGCAGCCAGCACGGGCTTCGGGTGTGACTCGCCCCTTGCCTGGAAATCTCCCCAATGATTTTTGGCGGGTCCGGAAAATTCTTTGGTGACTGTTGGGGTGCATGGTGAGGGGCGACAAACGAAATTTCACCGACTTCGGCAGCCAGCACGGGCTTGGGCCTGGAAATTTCGGACTGTACCGGAAAATTCATGGGTGACTTCTATTACTATTACTATTACCATTACTATTACTATTACTATTACTACTAGTATTACCATTTCTATTATTATTCTTGCTACTACTACTACTACTACTACTACTACGACGACGACTACTACTACGACGACTACGACTACGGCTACGACTACGACTACGACTACGACTACGACTACGACTACGACTACGACTACGACTACGACTACTACGATTACGACTACGACGACGACGACGACTACTACTACGACGACTAGTACAAGCCTTGGGCATGACACGAAAAAGGCGTCACGTCAGTGTGTTTCCGCAAATGATTTTCGCAGGTCTGTCAAAATCACTGGCCGCCTTCATATCACAGAAAGGAAGGGAGCGGGACAGAACCAAGAATAAAGTCCTTTCGGGCGTTGCTGCCGAAGCTTGTTGTAATTGGAGGCCGGGTTTTCGAATACTATTTCCCACGTCTGTAAAAATCATTGGCCGCTGAAACATTTTGGTTTTATAGAACCTAAACTCGTGGGAGAGATATTCACAAAATCCAAGGGAGAGGCTGCATGAGCATGGTTTTCGCGAATGATTTTGCCCGCGGCTGTAAAAATCATTGGCCGCCCAGACATTTCCACAAGATTCACGGGACAGCCTGTATGAGCTCGCGGGCGGAGTTGCTCCATGGTTGTAATTGGAAGCTGGATTTTCAGGTCACCTGCAGACGAGTTGCTCCACAGTTGTGGCCGGGGTTTCGTAAATGACATTTCTCACGGTGGTAGCAATCATTGGCCGCTGCAACATTTTGGCTCTGTCGAACCTACACTCGTGGGAGAGAGATTCACAAAATCCAAGGAAGAGGCTGCATCAGCTCGCGGGCGAGTTGCCCAACGGTTGTAATTGGAGACCGTTTTTTCGTAAATGATTTTTTCTACTGCTGTAAAAATCATTGGCAGCTGAAACCTTTTCACAAAATCCAGGGGAGAGGCTGCATGAGCTGGCAGGCAAGGTTGTAACTGGAGGCTGGGTTGTCACAAACGATTTTTCCCACGGCTGTGACACTCATTGGCCGCCGAAACAATTTCACAAAATTCAGAGGAGAGTCTGTATCAGCACGCGGGCGAGTTGCTCCAGGGTTGTGGAGGCTGGGTTTTCGCCAGCGATTTTTCCCACGGGAGAGCCTGCATTGTGCTCGCGATAAAGTTCCCCCACTTTTCACTGGTGAGAGCTGAGTTGTACTCGGAGCTTCGGGTTGCGCAAATGATTTTTGCAAGCTGTCTAAAAATCATTGGCCCATTCCCGGGCAATTGCATTGCAGTAGAACGGAACGGAACGGAACGGAACGAACGGAACGGAACGGAACGGAACGCCAACCCCGGAACGCCCGGAACGGAACGCCGACACCCTGTTTAGGGCTTTAGAGTTTGGGGGGTTTAGGGTCTAGGGCTTTAGGGCTTTAGGGTTTGGTCGTTTACGGCTTTGGTGGTTTAGGGCTTTAGGGGCTAAGGGCTTTGAAGTTTGGGGGTTCAGGGCTTAGGGTTTAGGGGTTTTAGGGCGTAGAGGCTTTAGGTTCTTTTTTGAGGGTTTAGAGTTTAGGAGAGTTTTGGGGGTTTAGGATTTAGGATCTTAGGCCTCGGCTTTAAGGCCGATGGGTTACGGTTTATACGGGGCTTAGGGTGTAAGCGCTTCGAGTTTTAGAGTTTGTTTTGGGGAGCAGGTATAGGGCTTCAGGGTAAGGGTGGAAGGGTTTAGGGTGCAAGGGTTTCGGGCTTGGGGCTGAGCCTCAACAGTTTTGGGGGCCTTTATAATTGGAATAGGCTTCTGGACTTTTGCTCCACTGTACTTCTGATACGGAGCTCGAAGGACTAGTACTGCTAATTACTACAATGACCGCGGCTTATGCACTACTGCGCATGCGGCACGATTCGGGGCTCCAAGGCTTTTCAGGAGGTAGGGCTTGATTTGGGGCTTAATACGGCTCAAGAGCGGAGGATTGCAGATTGAGGCACACAACTTCAGTGCTCCACTTCACTCGCTGAGGCCTTCCCATAATGCTCCTCCGCAGCTTTGCGATGGTAGAATACGCGACCATCCGGGCTGACAATCACCTTAGTTGCCGGAACTACATCCAGCGATCCACTGATGCAGTGATGGGCATCCTCAGGCATGAAATGGGGTAAAAGCAACCGAGACCTGGCAAGAAACATTGACGAAGACTGTGAACCGGTCGGCTTTGTTGATTGCTATCAGAAGCATGAGTGCAGCCGTTAATTTCCAGACCAAGGACCGTGTAAGTTCCGCCACCACCGCGGCTCCGCGCAATGCGATTGGTGCACTGCCAGGGGACGTGGTACAATGGCAGAAAGACTTGAGCAAAGACCATCCGACTCAACACGCCATGGCCAAAATCGCCAGGGGCACCCGCTCTCCGGCAAAACCCGAAACCCTGTGACCCTGTGAGGCGCCTTGACACCCTGCCCCCAATCATCCGGGAGCCACTTGGCGCCTTGGACAAAGATGATATCAAGGTTTTGGGGTTTGCGAGGAAAAAGGTTATTTCTAGATGTTGCTGTTGCAGAGTTGCAGATTCACTCGGCTAAGGAACGGTGAAAGTCGACGATGACTTCCTGCCCAGAGAGCATGTTTGGTGCAATCCCAAGAAAACGTGTAGTTCTTCCCGGACATAGCATGACAGCGAAGCTTGACAAAACAGGCGCTTCCGTCCATGGCATCTATCGAATGCAGTCCTTGCCCTCGATCGTGCGCCACTTCTTCGGATCAACGGACCCCTTGGGGAACACGAGTGGATAGCCAGCCCGGTTTTCGATGGGCACCTGTGCACTGGCAGTCTGCAAGCTCTCTTGGAAACGGCCCCTGCAATCATCGCGAGCCTCGCGCATGACCTTGTCATGCGTCTTGGTCCTTGCAAGCAAGTTGCGTGCAAGCGAGTATGCGGAAGCAAGCTGAAGTCTCTGGCGCCGCTCCCAGGCAATATCTACGACTACAACCGGCTTTGGCGAAAGCGCTGGCTTTGGAGATGCATGTGAAGGGCTTTTGTTTGGGAGCGGCCCCAATGCCGCTCGGCAATGTTGACGTGTTTAGGGTTGATCTGCTGCCAAAAGAACAGTTTGAGAACACGGAAGGGCCTCACGACGTGAGGCAGCTGCAAATTGCAATCTCTGGGGTCCTGCTTCCATGAAGCGAAAGCGGGCTAACCCTCATGAGAAATCCAAAACCTTCATACTTCGCGGAAGTCAAAGTATGAAGGATTTCCAGCGCAAGGCACCCAAGACGAAAAAATTCCCAAATGCTAAATTTTTGCTAAATCAAACCCTGAAGCCCCGTGTTCCCAAATGCCCCAGCCCTCCGATTCTTCACAAAACCCATTCTCCGCCACTAAACTCCAAGAGCCATACAGAAAGCCAAGGCTCAAGCCGATTACGGATCCTTATTCGTGCTCAGCCGAGCTGCACTTTCTCGTACTTCAGGTCCGTTCTTCCGCCCTGCGACCGAGGTGTGGATGACTGGGACCATAGCACCCACAATAATCGCATGTACTAGCTGGCTACTGGTAGCCACAACAGAAGATCACGAATAAGACTGGGAGTAGTAGTGATGACTTCCCGAACCCATCCCCCCCGTCCTTCTCCTTCAAGAGCGCCTGGGTGCTCGGACATGAGAGTCTCGCCACTCTGCGACAAAGCCCGGGCCTGCAAGGCCCAGCGAAGGCCTCGACGGTCCACCTCAAAGGCGAAAACAGCGACTGCTGAAAAAAAGATCTTCGTGGTTCTCAAGGCGGCTCAGCGCTGTGCTCGGGCTCCGTTCCTCGGAACCATCTTCTTCTTGTTTGCCTTCCGCGTGCTGGACGCGGAGGCCTCTGGCAGACAAACAACTCGATATAACTCGATGTGAAGGGATCATGCTCACTTCCACACCGCCGAAGACCTTCTTCTTCATGGGCGACTTTCCCATCCTTCGCAAGTCCTAAGCATGCTAACCACAGGTGGCGAGCGGATCGCGTCATCGTCACTAGGGCGGAGGCGCTGCAGCAGTGGAGGCTGCGAAGCTTGTCCGGACTATAGCACTTTCTGTTGTGGGTGATGTGCTAGTAACTACTTACTATAGTCACTTCTATATTTAAAACCGTCTGAGATGCACCGCATTGTCGAATGGTCGACTGTTGCATGTGGACAGTCTTTAGATCCCATTTTCGAAATTGATCTGCGGTCTGAACACCCCTGGCTTGAACCACATGGCAATTACCTGGCGAAGCCACTCTCTTCAAAATGCTAAGGCTGTCGCGTGTCGTATCATTGCCACGTTTTACCATGATGACGACTGTACTCTCGTCGTCTTGGCGTTGGGTCTTATGCCGGCCTTCCCGTGCGGTCCGCGTGGTCCAGCTCATCGAAAAGGAGACCAACCCTGGGCTCGGCCAGAGGGTCACCGTCACAGGGTTTAGGGTCTTGGGTTTAGAGTTCGGGGATTAGGGCCAGGGTCTTGAATGTTGAGTTTTGGGGGTTGAGGCTTTGGATTCTAGCACGTCCCTGAGCTGAAGAGGACCCTTGAGCCGGAAGCAGCATGGCGCTTCACATAGGGAATTTTCAATTATATAGCACAGTTTCGGACAATCACTGGGCCTCAGATATGATCAGCTCCATCGCCATCATCATTGTCATCGCCATCATCATCATCATCATCATAACCATCAGCGTTGTCATCCACATCCATCCTTTTCGGTCCATCCCTCCATCCATGCATCCATCCACCCAGCCATCCATCCATCCATCATACACAGTAGTGAGGAGTCACGAGCATCCTCCGCATCATCATCCACTTTACTATCAACAACATCATTGTCATTAGCATCATCATCACCAGAAGTATCATAAAATAATGACAAATAATTATCATCGTCATCATCATCAATATCATTATAACCGTCATTATCAGCAGCATCAGCGTCAGCGTCATTTTCATCATCATCGCCATCACCATCATCCTAGTCCTAATCGCTGCCACAGAATCATGGAACGATGCACATAGCAGCAACAAAAAAATAAAAGCACCAACACTTAAGCAAACGCCTCCACCCTTCCAGGGGAAAACTTACGAAAACCTCTAAACCCTAAACCCTAAACCCCTAAACCCTAAACCCTAAACCCCTAAACCTCTAAACCTCCGGCCCGGCCGAGATCCGGGCGCATGCTGCCAGCCCTTGCCGTCTGCCTGCCGGCTCCAACTTCCCGAACTCGAAATTGAGATTTCAAGGGGTAGGGCTTAGGGTTTAGGGTTTCAGGGTTTTGGGCTTAGGGTTTACGGTTTCAGGGTTTAGGGTTTCGG